TATATATTTATATATATATATATATATATTATCACTAGTCCTTAAATTTTGAGATCATTTTCAGTTTATTTTCTGAATTTTAAAAATTTTAATTTTACCCACTAAATTTTAAATTATTCACGCTTAAACTATTCTGTTAAAAATAAAGAGGAGAAAATAGAATAATACAGTCACATGCTCTTTATGTTTGAATACATGTTAAAAGCAAACATATATAAACCACATAACTACACATAACTCATTTTTTTTCAATTTAATTTTAACAAAAATTCTTACAAAAAAAGCTTAAATGGGTCTAATCTGAAATTTAGGAGACAAAATTAAAGTTTTCAAAGTTGAGAGAAAAAATTGAGAATAGCCTAAAATTTAAAAGAACAAGCAATAATAATCCCCAAAAAAAGAAAGAAACGGCGCCGTTCAGCTAAAAGACAAAACGGCTGCAAAGGATACGAAGAAAAAACAACGACAGTGAGAAACGACAGAAAATATGAAAACGACAATCAACAGGAAACGACGGAAAAAGAAAAGCAAACGGGAAACAATAATAAATTTTCAAACAATGATAATACAGAAACCGACATAATAACAATAGGCTATAGCCCCCATCCCAACCGAAAAAATAAAAAAAATAAAAAAATAAACGAGGATAAACAGGAAAATGAAAGAAAATATCAAACAACAACAATGAATAAAAACGACAGCAAGTGAGAAAGAACAAATAAATATTAACCAACGACAACAAATAAGGAAGCGACTGAAAAGTAACAAAGACAGAAAGTGAGAAAACACCAAAAATTACAAAACGACAGTTACAAGGAAACAACAGAAATGCAAACGATAGTAATAGTGACGACGGACAATTAACAGGAAACATCATGGGAAAAAAAAGATAGAATGAGGAAATTGAAATGTGGAACGACCAAAATCAATTAAAACATCTACAAGTGAGAAACGACAGCTAAATATGAAACAACAACAATATGAAAACGACAACAAATGAGGAAACGACTATGAAATACAAAATGAGGAAAAATAACCGGAAAAAGAGAATGAGAAAACGGCAGAAAAGTAATAAACGACATATTAGCAGGAGACAAAAAAAAAATGAAAGACTTAGGAAAAGTGACGAACGACAATTAAAAGGAAACATCAAGAAAAAGAAAAGGAAAAAAAGTTGAAACAACAACAAATGCCAAAAACGACGACTAAGAAAGAGAACAACAAGCTAGAACAAGATGAAAATGGAGAAAACGCTAGAAGAAAGCCGATAACTAGTTGGAAATGGGAGTAAAAATGAAATAAATGAAAATTATAAAACGGAGAAAAAAAAAAAGAAACAACCGAAAATGAGAAGTGGACAGAAAAATGGCGAAAGATAAGTAACTGGACAGGACATCAATGAAAAAACGGCGATGTAATAGCGATAAACGACAATTAGCTGGAAATGCTCGGAAAAGTATAAAACGACGGATATAAAAAAACCCCAACAAAAAAACTACAGGAAACGCTGACGGATGAATAACGAGGAAAACGAAGAAAACGTCAGAAAAGTAGGGAACGAGAATTAACAGGTAACGACGGGACAAAAATGAAACGAAAAAAAGAAAGCAGTAAACGATCGTACGAAAATAAAAGAAAACAAATGAGTAGCGAAAAAGCGCGCGCAAACACACAATGTAGGACAATTGTCTAATACTATAATGATTTACCAGTTTCCAGTAGTTTGAATAAAGTTCGTCTAGTACATTAAAGCAGAATGTGAGAAGTAGTTTGAAATGCGTATAGATTTTTATGCTCCGTATGTGTTTAGTTTGCTGACTACATGAACTTTAAGTTGTACGTTCATTTTTAGTCTGTTTGATTCATAAATTAGAATTATAAGATTAAAATTATTTTTAATTTACGTGTATTTTTTATGAGAGAAAATACTGTAACGAATTATAAACTATGATTCGAATCAGAGAACGAATCCTTTAACCAAACAGGCTCGAATTTGAATCACAACTAAAAACTTTTTTCTCTCATATAAATACATTTTTTAACTCAATTTTTAATTCTAACCAGAAACGAACGGACTTATAATTTCATAGACTAATCTATCTGGAGCCTGGAGTGATTACTTCACAATATTAAACGAGATTGTGACCAACTTAGCACACTTGAAACTTTGACGTACACTTTGATAATCCTATACACAAGATCATTAATCACAGGAGTCATATAAAAAAGTAATAATTAATTCTTATATAACCATTTGCAAATAGAGGAAATATAGATAAAATTCAATCTATTTGAAAGTTGAAACGAATATGGAGCAGGTTTGACCCCTAAAAACAAAGAAAGAGAACTGTACGGAAACCTTTTAAGTGCAAAAGAAACCCATACTATGCAAAAGTGCATTAGCCAATCTAAAAAATCTGACGGCCATGCACAGTCACAGTTTGTTCCTATTCCAGAGTTATATACGAGGCTATCTTGCAGAATAAGTTCAGAACCGAAAAAACTAATAATCTTGTTCAAAAATCTTCACGTCCGTCATCTTGCCGGATGGAACTTCCATTCGGTATTGTGTAGATATCTTGGAAAGTTTTTCCAGCGTGTTGTCCTCCATGTCAATAACTATCTGACGGCACTCCCGGGTACAGAATGCGCGAAATTGACTGTACTTTGAATAGACACAAGATTAAGACTTATAATTAAAGTGATGTTAATTCATTGACTTAATTAAGCACCAAAAGATATCACTGTCATTCTAGAATATCATGTGCACATCAATTAATTATTAGACAAGAAACACGTGAAAAATATAACAAGATCAGTCCACAAGAATGTCAACGTCAATACTAGACAGACATAATCATTGTCATGAATGAATTTAATACAGATTAGCAGACAAGGTGAGGTGTGGATAGAAAATTAGTGCCAAGTACTTGGTGGGCGGTGGAAAATAAGTTGCATACTGATTTGAAAAGGAATATGTGCCGTGAAGAATATGTCTGTAGACGTATTTGGTATTTGTTTGAAGTAAAGATAAGAAATTTTACTAGCAAGATTTTCAGAAAAATAATATGAAAAAAGAAAATCAGATAACAAAATGGTTGCTCTAAGAATTAGTATGGCTTCTTTTTGGTATGTGTGGAAACAGAGTGAAGAATAAAAATAAGAAACCACAAATTGCATATTTTTACGTGCATTTTAAGAGTGGCAAACGTACTACGAAAAATATTTATAAAAAAAAAAAAGAACGAAAAGCAAACAAACAAACACAAGCAGTCTTTTAGATACTGAAATATATGGTCCTACAACTTCTCACGTATTTGATTGAATGAACTTTTTATTAGGTATATCGTCAGAAAATATTGTAAATACATAAAATTCAAATGTCTCTTTAATTTACGTATTGAAATACAATAATGCATAGAACCAATAAAAAAATTAAATTTTTACATTACCATTCCCTACCTCTGTTTCCATATGTATACACAGAGGATCTCTATACTTACCTAATATACCTATATATCAGAATAAAAAAAAAGGATTTTTTTTTAGACCCACGCGAAAAATACCACCATACTGCCGATATTATATTATTCTGTTTCCTTTATTTTCTCAGCAACAATATGATCCTATTCTTTCTATTATACAGATTTTACGTTATGTTTGAAAATTTTCTCGGTAACCAAACGGAGAACAAACAGAAACTCAGCAACACTTATTTTAAAACCGAAAAGATAGAAAGAGAATAAAAAAAGGGAGCGCATGAGACCCTACCAATACATGAAAATGTCTTTGCCCTTCTGGATCTTCTTGTGGCAGTACCAACATTTCTCGAGAAAATTATCGGGAACTTTTCGCTCGAAGTCCTCCGGCGGCGACAGAGTCAGAATTCCCCGCCGTACCTGCGCCTCCTCCACCGCTGCCGGAGGAGTCTGAGCACCGATTCGGAGCTCCGACGGCCGAGGGAGCTGATAGATGACGTCGTTGTCGTCGTAGGACCCATTGATGCGAGATCGTTTGATCGGCATTTCTGACAGTGGGGTTAGTGAGGCAGAGATAGAATTAGGGATTTAGAGAGAGAGAGAGAGAGAGAGAGAGAGAACGGAACGGCAGATGAAGAAGGATTGGTGAGGTAGTGAAAAAGAGGGAGAAGAAGGGAGCTGAATCCATGGAATCACACCTCTATTTATAGGCTATTACTACTTTTCTACGTCAGCCTCATTAAGTATGGGGGGTTTCTATAGTCTGCAACGCGGGAATGTTTCCTTTTTTTATTTTTTAATTTAATGAGTAACTTTGCCTTTTTTTCTAATGGAAAAGTCAAAGATTGGCTTAATTTTACGGTGTATAATATTTGGTGACTGGTGTAGGATATTATTGACAAGTAATTCTATACTTTTATTAAAGGATATTATGCCCTTTGGAAACTTTTTTATTTTTAGAGTAACTTTCCTTTTAAAAAAAATTAAGAAAAAACTTGCCTTCCACTAAAAAATGTTTAAAAAAAGAGGACTTCTTCCTAGTGAAAAGATGTAAAGGGAAACGAGAGCTTTTTTTTTTATTATTATTTTTTTTTTTTGAGAAAAAGCAAATGAACAATTGAGAATATTGATGTCCAAAATTAGTATTCCACATAGGCATCTACAAGTGATGGGAAACCAAATCCTCTTACCACGTCATCTAAAAATATAAGAACACAAAAAATCCCGCAAAAAAGGAGATCTCCTTACTAAAATGCAATACAAAATTTGTTTAAAGTTTATAATCTTTTTAGAGGATATCAGATATAGACATCAAAATTTAATAGATGTTTAAAAATAGGGTTACAATATGTGACTGTATTTTTCATAGGATTATTGTGTTGTTTGGTCCTAATTAAAAGGAGAAAGTGTTTGTCCCCAATCAAAAATGCTTATGCGAGTTCAATTTAAAAAGAAAAATATTGCTTTTGTAGTAGACATATCCAATCATAGTTTCATTAGCTAACCAATGATTTATTGAATATTGAGTTAAAAAAATTGTTATATTGATATTTGGTTGTATTTCCTCCAGTAGATCAACGTGATTTTGTTTTTCCCATATTCCATTGCCCAAACATTGTTCTCCATATACCATTTAAATTTCCCACACCAATAAGAAACTAGACTCAATTTTTCAATTTATTTTTGATGAAAAAAAAAAGTTGTAAGGATAGCGGAATGTATCCATGTGAAAATAAAGGAAAGTAAATTACTCATGTCAAAATTACATATGCCACGCTCGAACTCAATTTAAAAGACAAATTTTATGGGGCGTAAAATCTCCGCACTACGCCAAATAATCAATGGTAGTCTCTAATTTTATTTAAAATTAGGTTACTATCTTACCGGTGAATGTCAAATACCATGCTTTAGCAGTTTTCCTTTGAAGGACAACGCTTTTTTTTTTTTTTTTTAATGCTTGCAACATATATAAACCAAGATTGTGTACTAATGTGAGCATAATATATGCCAAACAAGTTTCCAGTTTTTTTACCACACGAAATAATTGATGGCCCCGTTCACATCTAACTTTTTTACTACAGTAAAAAGCTCTCATATAAAATCACATTTAAACTCGAATTACAAACTCGAATCAGTGAAGTGAACGGGCCAAATGGTAGTCTCGAGTTTTACTTTTATTTAAAAGAGAATAATAATAAGTACAACAACTCAAGTCTTAACTTTTATGTACTAATTTATGCAGCATGTAAGCTGTCATTTTTATATTAGTGAGTGTATAAAATATTGCAACGTCAAATTAATAATAAAAGATTACATTTATCAATAATAAAAATGACAATTCACACGTCACATTAATTAATATATAAAAATTAAGATTTGAGTTAGTGTCCTTAACACTATTCTTTAAAATAAGGCTAGTTATCTTATCCGTGAATGCCAAATATCATGATTTAGCAATTTCTCTCCGAAGGACAATTTTTTTTTTTATAATTTTTAATTCTTGCGACATATAAATCAATAAAAGTAAACTAAGGAGTTGTTTGGTTAGGGGATTCATATCCCGATTCAAATCATGATTCGTGGTTCGTTACAGTGTTTTCTCTCATAAAAAATACACGTAAATTGAAAATAGTTATAATCTCATGATTCTAATCCATAAACCAAACGTCTTCTAAGATTGTGTACTTTTTTTTTTTTGCTGAATAAGATTGTGTACTTATGTGAGTATACGTATGCGCCAAACAAGTTTGAAGCTTTTTTTTTTTTTTGGGCTAGTAAAACAAGTTTGCAGATTTGTGTAAACGTTGGAATATATGTTCTGCAATCAATATTATGAAAACAGATATGGTTTGGAGGTAAAAATATTTTCAGAAAAAATAGTAAAATACATTGATTGATTTTCATGATTTGGAAACGCACCTGACCAGAAAATTATTTCAATTTTAAAAACGAAACACGAGAGATTTGTATGGTTGATTGATGAAAATTTGACTAAGGTAATATGGAAAGATTTAATAGGAGAAAAAGTAATTACTGTACTGATATTTTGGGAAAAAAAGGGAAAATAATCAAAATCCTCCTTCTTTTTGCTAAGTCATGACTTTCATCTCTCTTATTATGTAAATGTCCAAAACACATTCTGTAAAGTAGTTAAACTTTTAAAAATTCCATGGCTGTCCTTTCAATTTATATTAATTGTTATTTTAGATATGATTTAACTAAAAAAGTTAAATAAAATTTTTTTTTTAAAGTGCTCAGATAAATATTTCAATCAAAGAAATTCTTCAATTATTTTGAGAGTTATTCATTTTTTCTGATTATTTTATTTAACATAAAGGTTTAATAATGTTTTAAAATGTATTTATTAAAGATTGAGAAGGATAATTCCAACGATGGGTTTACAGACTAAAACACAGGCGTTGCATTTCATGTCTAATCCAACGATCAAACCTATGCCCTTTTATAATTTACATTAGATATGTACATTCTTTCCCTTCTTTTTTTTTTTTTGGCACTAATTACAAAATCCTTTTCCAAAAGGAACAAACAATGATTTTGTAGCACCAAACTCTAATTAGATTAAAGCTGAGACGTATGGAAATTAGATAAAAAGTTCATCAATTCAATCCTACCCACTTTTTAAAAGCCAAGGCTGCTTCTCTCTTGCTGAGTTGGGCTTCTGTCTGGAACTTGGGAGCTTTGCCCTTATAAAGTGTTTTGTGGTATTTCAAGAAGAGGGTCCGGTATTTGTACTTGTCAACAAACATATTCCCTTTCTCCATCATCTCCACGACTTCATTTGCTCGCTTGAAAAACCCGCCTCTGACGAATGTGTAAAGCACAGAATCCAGGAGCTCCTGATCAAACTTCATTGGCGTAGATGAAGCAAGAGATTTCATCTCGCCCCACAGTTCTGTCACCTCTATGTAGTTTCCCCCAATAGCTGCATAAGCAGTGACCATGGAATGGAAAGTTTGAGCATTCGGGGTATGCCCAAGACTCCTCATCTTTTTCAGAGCCTTCTCAGCATCTTGCATCAATCTCTTCCTACAGAAGAAGTGGATCACATTGTTCCAATCATGAACACCCGAGTCGACCTTCTGCCCTTCCTTGATTTCTTGCAAGAGCTTTGCCATCAACTTCGCTTCACCGCCCTCTGCACATCCCTTAACCAACGTCTCAAACTCTGGATGACCGGTTTTCAATATCTTAGCCTCTTTCATCTCTCTGAAGAGATGGAAGGCTTCCTGTGTATTTTCTTGCAGCACCTTGGACTGGATCAATGCCTGGTAAGAACTTGAATCTAGCTGGACTCCGGCCCTCCGAGCATCGCGTAGAAGTGACGCAGCATCTCCTGCTCGGTTTGCTTGGCAGTATGCTTTTAAGAGTGATGAATACAGAGAAGGAGCGGTCCAAACACCAGCCAAACACATCTCGTCAAGAAGGTCATGTGCCTGGTCTAACCAACCAAGTGATATGCACGAATTAATGACATGAACCATAACTGAATCATCATTGGAAACTGGAGAATCTTCTTTCTCCGCCTTGATGAGAAAATCTGCTAAATTCTTGGTCTTGCCAGCTTCTAGAAAGGCCTTGACTAGTTTCACAAAAATTTTCTCATTTGGTTGGATAATACCTCGTTCAGTTGTTAGCAATTCAACTTGACTCTGAAGCTTAGCTAACATATCACCAAGCACTTTCTTTGCTTCGGTCTCGAGTTTCGTGAAATTTTGGTCTCTTGAATACTCTTCGTAAGATAATACAGGAGTTCTCATTAATGTATTATCTTCTAAATGTTCAGACCGTCTATTCAAACCTTGGCTGGAACCAAGGAGAAGAGAAGATTGGCTATCATTTTGAACAGCATCAATAACCAGCGACGCAGCTACAAGCGAGGATCTAGCTGCTTTTGCTTTCTGAAGCATTTCCAAAACCATGTTGGATGCAGAATCTAGATCCCCCAACTTCAAATGGCATGTAAGCAAACAACTATAAAACTGCCTAAATTGAATATCACTTAGGTTGTGTGCCTCATTTATGTAACGTTGAAGTTTCTTAAGCTCTTCTATTCGTCCATTCCTCTCGTATATATGCGCCATTACTATCAACAAGTTAGAATCAATTCTGATGCCAACTCGAGGCATCATTTCAAGAAGCTGCTCTGCTTTCCTAGTCGTTCCAAACAAAAGACAACCGGCCAGAGCAATGTTGAAAGCAGTAGTGTTAGGCTTCATAGCAATCAAGGGTGCATTACTCTTTTTACGTGGATCCACCCTACCATCTTGGAACAAGTAGCCCATCTCAAGAATCAATTCAGCAGCAAGGTAAGCCCCACGTGCTGTTTGCGACATATGAGCCAAAGTTGCAGACCAAGCAGCAACTGGAGGAAATTGCTCCATTTCTACAAGCTTCCTCAAAATAGTCGACGCAGGAACTGGCAACCCAGCTTTGGCAAGAGAACAAGCAAGATAAATTAGCATCTCTTTGTCTAACAAGTTCTGTTTTCCTTCCTCAAAAGCTTGTTCTACAAGCTCAAAGGCCTTTTCTAGCCACTGAATATCAAGGCTTTCTGCAAAAGCTGCAAGGAGTTTGTTTACAACAGACTTTCTAGGGAAACCCTCCATCTGCATATGTTGTTCATATAACTTCCACGCATCGTTAAGTCTACACTCGTCAAGTGCAATTTGTATTTCCATACTTAGTGCAGCCGGGTCTCGAGCCTGGACCAAGATTGTTCCTGCTGCAGTAGACAAAAACTTTATTCCAAATGTTATTTCATTCTGGGTTCCAAGGGATACAGCTTGCTCATTGGAGTTGGCCAAATGAGAGCTCATACACCCACAATGAGACCGGAAACTCGAATAGGCTTGAAAATGGTATCTTAAAATCGGAGTAGAGCTATAATTTCCATAAGTAAGTAAGATATATAAGTTGGAGGGAAAGACTTTAGTAATCTGATGACTGAGTTTTCTCCTAAAGACCATAGTCCCGTCTGAAGATAAGTTCTTTGCAATAAAACGACCAGAACTCAGCAAATCCCTAATAACTTTTAGGCTTCACAAATTTGGCATGAAGCTGTATGACGGAAAAGAAGAAATCCAAGTTCAAATACTGATAAACGATGTTAATAAACAAATAAAGAAATAAGAAAAGAACATCAATGACGTCACAAAATTCTTGCTCACAAGGATTCAATGTTTTCTTGATAGTCATAAATAACTAGTGATGAAATGAAACCTTCATAACAACTATCAATTATCATAGAAACCTTCATAACAACTATCAATTATCATAGAAACCTTCATAACAACTATCAATTATCATCCTTGTGAGACATTTCATCGAACAACTAGCAAGCCCCAAAAGAGAGACAAATAATTACCAGAAATCGGTCGTCCCAATGATTCACTAAATTCATTCGATAATTGTTGAGCATAATACAAAGGTTCATTAATCATTAGGCTACTCGATGTCTCTAACTCTATAGCTTCAATGGCACATTCAATAACACTATAGGCTTCTAGGAAGTATCTTATTACCATCTTCAAGCATTACTGACATGCATAAGCCATTTATCTGCATATTGAATGTAACAACTGTAGATCATGTTTCCCAATTTACAAACATCATCGACAATTATGTTATGCACATTTCAAGATACATAAGCAGCCAAGTTAAAAAAAAATGCTTATTTTCACCGCATAAACATTTTAACAAACATTTAATGGGCATAATTAACCAACCCTTGAACAGACAAGAATTCACTTCATTTTCTGAGCTAACTAAAAAGCAATAATAAGAAAACCGAAACCAAGCTACCATGAGCCAAGTAAACACAAGCGTGACGTATCTCGGTAGAAGAAAACGACAAAGCAATGGAGATTGTAATGGCATAAAACAACGTACACTTGCAAAGTTGGAAGCAGCACGAAGAGATGGTTGAGAACGCAGAGCAATGTGGAGATGGCGAATGAGCGAAATGCAGCGAGACGGAGAGAAGTGCGACTGGGTCGTGAGAGAATGGTTAAGGTTGTTCGTAAGTGAATGGTCGTGTTGAGAATGGCCTTTGAATGACTGGGTCGCGATTGGGTTGGAACATTGAGCAAATTATTTTTCGGGTTGTGACTTATGAGTTATGATGTAAAACGAGTCTATAGACGGTAGACCATTTTGTAAAAGGATTATTTCCATAAATGATGCATTATGTATCATATTTTAAAATACTTTTTCATTTTTTAAAATCGTTTAAAATATTTCTTAATTTATAAAAAATATTTCAAAATGCCCTCTCGTCTATTTCCGTTTATACCTCTAAAGGCTTGTTTATTTATATTTTTTAAGTTAGAATGACTTAAATTCAGATCTTAATTTGAGTTAAGGTGTATTTGAGTATGGTTTGAATTTGAACTCTAATTTGAATTTGTGTTTAGATGTGCACATTTTGAGTTATAGTTTGAATTAACAATTTATTTGAGTTTGTGTTTAGGTAGGTTAAAACTTAAATTTGTATTTGGATAGTAGTTTAATAAAAACTCAATAGTGATGAAAAATTTTAATAGGGTATATGAGTGAGGTTTTATTAATTTTTTCATTGTGAACGTATAGAAAAAAAATCATCTAAATGAGAATTAAAACAAAAAAAATTATGACATTTTTAAGAATAAAAAAAATATTATTCATCAACTGAAGTTTGAGTTTAGAAACTTAAGTTGTAAGGGAATCTTAAACTCAGATTTTAGTCCTAAACTCAAGTTAAAACTCAAATTTTATAAAAGAATATGATATTAAATAAAATTGTAATTTAAGTTCAAGCTTTTTTTCAATTTGAATGCAAATGAACAAGCCCTAACTGTTTTACTGACGTGACACTTATTTTACATGTTTAAAGTTAATTAACTTAAAAAGAGGAATTAATTATTAAAACTTGAAACTTAAACCATGATTAGGCTTTTTTTTTTTAAATATTGTTGCTTTAGGTTAATTTAAAAAAAGGACGACCGGGCTTTCTTCCATTATGAGACTCAAAGGAAGGGAGGGAGAAAGCAAAGGTGATGACTGACGACGAAGGCTAGCTCGGCAGGGGGATGTGGGGGCTTACAACTGGTGATGGGCGCACGACCCATGACATGCGACGGTGAAGGCAGGCTCACGGAGGGAGATGGAAGATCTAGCACGGTGGTACGATGGTGACGAACGGATCTGGATTCGTGGTAGCGTACGAAGTGGGTGGGCTTGACGGATCTAGGTTGTGCGGCGGTGAAGTGGGCTCGACAAGGCTCTCACGGCGGAGGGTCAAATTCACAAAGGGTTGCAACGGTAGAGGCATGCTCGATGGGCTGCTTCGCGACGATGCCAATGAGGTTGGATTATGATTTCAAAGACCAGTGTTGGGTATGCCAGAAATTCAACAATTTAGACCTCATTTATTTCACCGATTTGAGTTTAGAATTGAAGTTTTGTTATGATAAAAAGTTCTTAGAAACAGTGACATATAACTTTGTAACTTTTTGTCACATAAAATTTTTTTATTACAGTAAAAAACTTTTACATAATGTCACAACTCAATTCGAATTAACAAATTAAACAGACTCAAATTGTTATTTTGTCTCCACTTTGACAGCAGTGCTTTTTTTTTTGGGGAAGTGTGCCATGTAATCAATCAAAAGGAGACACAAAGAAAGGGAGATTGAGTGGATTAGGCGTTAACCCGTTTATTTTATCGATTTGAATTTATTATAGTAAAATTTTTTTAAAAACGATCACATTTAATTTTTTATTACAATAAAAAATGTTCACATAAAGTTATATCTTAATATTTTAATTTAAATTAAAAACTTGAATCAACAAATTAAACGGGTTTAAAATATTTCATTTGGTCTTGTTTAAACTTGCGATTGGGTCTTAGGCATGGTCGAGTGCATGGATTTCTCGTCAATTGCTGAGCTTAATTTGGGTGTGAATGTGTTTTCTGCTTTTTTTTTTTCTTTTTTTGTTTTTAATTTTTGGAATTAGCTGATGTAGCTTAAAAAAGAAATTACCTGAAGTGTTTTATTCCTTCTTGTTTTTTTAATATTTAATTTGTTATTATATTTTACTAGAGTTGAATATATTTTGTTTTTTTTAATGGTGTGACACGCCATCAAAACGGTTAAAGTTAAAAATGGAAGGAGATGGAGGGGACATTTTAATCTTTTTTATGTAGATTGGGGGCGTTTTAAAAAATTAGATGGTATTTTAAAATATGGTACAAGGATATTTATAAAAATAATTCTTTATGAAATTAGATCATATTAATTTTATTGATTCGAATTTAAAATTTGAGTTTTATTACAGTAAAAAACTTTCAGAAGCAGTTACATCTAATTTTTTTGTTAGAATAAAAAGCTCTTACATAAAATCATATTTCAACTCAAATTAAAAATTCAAATCAGCAAATTAAACGAGCCCTTATTGTACTTTCTAACCTCAACTTTCACATCACGATTAGAAGTTTTATTTTCTAAAAAATAAAGTGACCTTCTCTGAATTAATTTTCTGACTGTTAAATTTAATAATAATCACATGAAATTAAAAAAATATATATAATAGACAATTTTTAATGTAAATTTAACAGCTAAAAAATATAAAAATAACAGTTACATAATAGACAATTTTTAATGTAAATTTAATGGCAAAAAAATATAAAAATAACAGACAATTTTTAACGGTTGAAAAATATAAAAATACTAAAATTTATAGTGCTATGAGAGAAACTCCCAAAAATAAAAATCTAACACGAGGGATCTTTGCGAGACATTTTCCAACTTGACCCGTAACAAACATTAAAGTTTTGAATTTACAACTGTTATACTTAAGAGGGAGGTTTTCTAAATAATCCAAAAATTGCGTTTGGAAAAATTCAAAATTTAGGCATTTTTCCAGTTTATCATGCCCCCCCTAATGATATTATGATTTAGGCAAGCTATTTGCTTTTACCGGCCTGATTTTGGCTGAAGAGGGTACATTAACAAATGGAGAATTTCATCCTATGAAACACAATATTTACATTTAGCTCATGAAGCTTAAAGTTTTAAGACTAAAAATAGACACGAAAAGGATAATGAACACGGTACACATCATCAGCGGGTCACTTTTATTCAAGGACTTCCCGTGGAGTTTGAGATAACTACATCCAAGGTCTACCCACAGGGCACAGGCCTCCACTACACATATACATTAGATACTTTTGAGGATGTTTGGTTACGATTCAAAATTATTTTCGTTTTACATGTATTTTTTTTTAGAGAAAAAATTATAGAGAATCATGAATCATGATTAGAGACAAATATAGAAAACAAAAGTTACTCCATACTGGTTACTCTAAAGAGACATAAGGTCCGTTTATTTTGCGGATTCGAGTTTTTAATTCAAATTAAAATATGAATTTATGTGAAATTTTTTTATTGTAATGAGATTATTTTTAAGAATTTTTTACTGTAATAAAATTTGAATTCTAAACTCAAATTCTACAAAGAGATACTTAATGTTGCCTTTGGCGTTGACCTCAAAGCACAAAATCTGGAGGTTGGAATTTTCAGAGGCAATTGCAGTGACTGGATGGCCGGCCGGGACGACAAACACCCCGCCACGGCTCAACCGCCCGGTTACTCTCTGGAATCTTTGGCTGCTCTTCCGTCCTTACCGTCTTCCCCCGCCGTGTTCTGACGAGCTGGCTGCTCTTCCGTCCTTGCCGTCTTCCCCCGCCGTGTTCTGACGAGCCATGAGGACAAGCCATTTCGAACCATCCTTCTCCATCTACTACGAACGCCATCTTTGTTGCCTTGGAATTGTAATAGGGCGCAACCATAGCTCCCTATATAATTGCAAAGTATACATATGTTTTGTGTAACAAAGCAAGCATACCAAAAAAAAAAATGCAAGTTAACTTATAACACCAACTTATGCAAGTTAAATCGTAGCATATTTTCCTAGCTGAAAAGAAAAGTATACAAGTTACATTAATGTAAAGGAAAAGGAATTGAGTAATTACTTTGGTGACGTTAGCAAAGGAGGAGATAAGGTCAAGGTGTTCAAGCTGCTTGCAGTCTTCGGGTTTGGCCTCAAAAGAGACGACCATAGCGATTAGATTGAATGGGCTGCTTGTGGAATATGTTAAAGGGACCTTCTGTTTGGCCCCTCATGAACGGCCAAACTGGTTCTTCTTCGCGGCCGCCTTCCCCGTGGCTGCTCAGCTCCTCTACCTGTTCTCTTGAGGCCTTTGTAATGCTGCCTCTGCTCTGCTGCCTAAACAGCTCCTCTATCTCATCTTTATCTCTCTGTTTTAACACAAATCAATCATTACTTAGCAAAAAAAAAAAAAAAAAAAAAAAAAAAAAAAAAAACCAAAAAAAATTGAAAAAAAAAGGTTGAAAAAACTGGGGGGGGGAAACCACTTTTTTTTTTTTTTTTGAATATTTTTTTCCGTGGACGTAATGTCCTTTTTATTTAGAATTGTCATGCTTTTTTTTTTAAACAAAAAAAAAAATAACTAAAAAAAAAAAAAAAAAAAAAAAAAAAACGATACAAAACCATAAGAAATTGCAGTTAAGTGGCGGATAAATTAAGAAGGTATATATTCAGTAATATAAAAAATAAAAAAATAAGAAGTTATACTAACCTTGAAAGCGGCCTTGAGTACCTTCCAGTTGAAGGCTTTGTAAAACGAATCTAGGTGTTGGTCCCTAGCCACGGAAAATGTCTACAACACAGAAATTACTCCCAATTATGACATCATGATAAAATTACTCTCTTAAGGCTGTTTACAAATATATATATATATATATATATATTTTTTTTTTTTTTGGTTACCTCAAAGTGGGCAGGGAGAGAGATGGGATAGATTAGCTTGACCATGAAAACCTTCTCTCTCTCGTCCCGGTTGACCATATATGCAGGTGTGCCTGCTGGTACGTATAAGGTGTCTCCACGTTCAAGATTGAATGTTTCTCTCTTCTCCTTCCTCAAAAGGGTCACAGTTGGTTTCCCTAATTCACACAAATAACAAATTAGAATTATCAAAAAAAAAAAAAAAGAACACATACACGCATAGAAAGTTATAATAAAAAACTCATAGTCAAGATTCGTTGTTCTTAATTTTTTTTTTCTGTCTATTCCAATTGTGTTATTTATTATTTATTAAATTTAAATGGCATAAGAAATAAGGAACATAAGAATTTGAGTAAACTAGCCCACCCTTAGCAACGAAGATGACTCCAGCAGCATCGAAATGGACCAGAGTGACGAATGCGCCGGGATTCGCCTCGAGAAAACCGATCCTGTAATTCTCAATCCCCTTCATAAGCTCAGACCTCTCAGTGAACTTCTTGAGAACGTCAACTCTGCCTTCCTCAGTCTTAATGATGGTGTCGAAATGTTCATCCCTGAATACATATGGATTCTCTTCTCTTATCTCCTCCTCTTCTTCTTCTTCTTCTTCTTCTTCTTCTTCTTCCTCTTCCTCTTCACGGCATCTCTCTCTCTCTCTCTCCCACTTGTCATGTATATATCTCTCTCTAAACTTCTTCTCTCTGACATACTCCTCACACCTTTCCTCGCACTCTTCCCTTTGTTGTTCGAGAAGCCCCTCTTGGTGTTTGCCTGGTGCATGCACTGCTTGAGTTCCGAGGCAAGACTTGCGCTTAGGGCCGCCAAGGACAGGAGAAGTACGACCAAACAGAGCTTCTTTAAGGCCGCCATTTTTTTTCCCCCTTGAAGAAAGTGTTGAATAAGAGTACAAAGGGGTTTACATAGGAAGAAATAAAATTATGGGAGATTAAAACAGAGGAATTGGAAACCATGCATGAAGACGGGTGTCTGAGTTACGTGTCTTCCATGCGGAGGACTTGATCGGATCGTACGACATAGGACAAGAAAGACATACGTAACTTTTTGTAGAGATTGTAAAGTTTTGAGCGCTGGATCATCAGAGCTGTCCTTCAAGAGTTTGCAAGAAAACGACAGCAATTTTCTGTCTGATCATGATGAGGAATTGAAATAAGGAACTATGGATGTTTGGACATAGTACGCCGGTTTTTACGTGATCTTCGTCCAATTTTAGATGTTATAACAATCCGGCGTTCTAAGTATTGTCTTAACTTCTGCTAAAAGAATGTTAGAGTTCTGATATATAATTTGCCTTTTTACTTTTTGTGTGTTTTATGAGAAAGGCTAGGGTCATTTCTCTCTCTCCTCATTTTTTATTATTTGACACAAATAATTTTATGTCCTTTTAACACGTGAATATCATATCACTGTAACATTTTTTTATTTAAAAAATAATATCATGTTAATAAAATAGAGCGAGTAATAAAAAAAATAATAATAAAAGTATTAAATAATGAATAAAATGAGTCACAAAGAGAGTGACTTTTTAAATCGAATGACAAAGAGAGTGACTCTCGTGTTTTATACGATGATACATAACCAGGCTGGCAACATCAGACAATAGTGGCTTGGATTTTTTACTTTTTTTTTGTTTACTTCTCTATCTTGTTTGTATACGGCGCCGAATCATGGCTCACTATTCTTGAGTAACTTTGTTGGGGATAAATAAACGACAAAGATTTTGTTTTGTTGCCCGGAAAACGACAGATAGTTTAAAAATTACAATGGCTTCCCTAGGGCCGGACAACTCGGCATTGATGTTTGGGACGGCTTCTTGATCATTTTTTCCCCACTAGATCACTCTTCGAGTAATATTGACTGTTACTCTATTATTTTTCTTTTCAAAGAATTGTGAAACTATACTAAACACGTTGAATAGAGCCTCCAACTCCAACAGTTCACTAAATATGCTAAAATTTAATTGCTAAAGGCCCTTAATTCTTATTTTTCGCGAGATTCTGTGTTTTCCTCAACCAAATCAGCTTGCTTTGTGAGTGCTAGAAGAGCCAAAAACCAAGCAAGACACGCACGATGTCTTAGTCCAGTGACTACCTAACATGCAAAATAATCGCAAAATGAGATTTTCTTCCCTGATTTCTGTTGTTTTTGTTTATATGCATCTTTTACTATTTTAATTCTCTCTTTACACGAATTGCATCGTTATTTCTTCTTCCAAATTAGAAGTCGGTGTTGAATTTCTCAAACACAAATTGATCATACACGCGCATGTTATATTATAATGTTTTATCACAAAACAGGCACAAGAAGTGTGAGTAATATACATATATATATTATATATCAGTTGGTCACTTTTATTTATATATATCCAGTGGAGTTGAGACTGCATCTCTTTATCCACAGGATCCGACTATACATACATTTCCATTACGTTCTCCTCCTTAATTTACACAACTTCCGGATATAACAAAAGTTACGTACTCCAGCTGATCAGTACGCTTTCAGCTCCCATTTTCCTCACATTCTCGTTCAGTTATATATATTACATATACGCACGGTGGCCACCTTCCTCTTGTTGGGTTGGGCCTGGGAAAAAGAACTCCTCATTCTGGCTCTTGAAGATCCTCTCCACTTCTCTTGCTGGCACTCCAAACGCCAACTCCTTCGCCACGTTATCCATATTATTCACAATGTTTTTCCTCCCTGAAAATTGAGTAGACATAAACATATAATAATTAGCTTGACCAAAATGAAATACTATTTCAATTTTTAGTACTCAATTAGTTAATAAACGAGAGAAGAGGGATATATATATATATATATGTATATGCATATATAGTACCTGCAAGAGGGTACCTAGTATTGCCCTTGGCGTTGACCTCAAAACACAAAATCTGGAGGTTGGTATTTTGAGAAGCAATGGCAGTGACTGGATGGCCGGCTGGGACGACGAACACCATGCCGCGTCTCAGCCGCCCGGTTATTCTCTTGAATTTTTTGCCGCTCTTCTCTCCCTGCCAGGCGCTTCCACCGCCGCGTTGGCGTCCCTGCTCCGACGGGGTGTGAGGACAAGCCATCTCGAACCATCCTTCTCCATCTACTACAAATGACATCTTTGTTGCCTTGGAGTTGTAGTTTGGCGCAATCATAGCTCCCTAAATACAAAGCAAGGATATATATATATATATATATATATATATATATATCTGTTACATTAGTTTATCGTCAAACAAACATGTGTTACATTGGTTTTATCACTGAACAAAGTCAAAGATATATAAATGCAAATGACGAATACTACTCGTGTATATTCAAAATGAAGAAAAAAACAAGTGAATTAGGATGAAAAACTAGTGTTGATATCATATATATTTTTCTTAGCTAAAAATAGAAAAATAGATGCCAACGTATAATCAGGAGAAAGATTATATTTGAATAATTACTTTGGTGATGTTAGCAAAGGAGATCATGAGGTTGAGGTCTTCAAGATCTTTGCAATCTTCAGTGTTGGCTTCAAAGAGGCTACCATAGCGGTTGGATGAAACGGGATGCTTGCGGAATAAGTTAAAAGGACCCTTCGTTTCACCCTTGAATGGCCAAATTGGGCCGCCTCCGCCGCCGCCTTCTGCGTGACGGCTCAGCTCCTCAACCTGTTCTCTTGAGGCTTTGGTGATGCCGCCTCGCTTCTGCTGTCCGAATAGCCTCTCTATCTCATCTCTATCCCTCTGTTTCAACAAAAATCGTGATCATTAAATATAAACAATTATCAAAAAAGACACAAATGCGGCGGGCAAACAAGAGTTGTGTTTAAGATCTTATTAACCTTGAAAGCGGCCTTGAGAACCTTCCAGCTGAAGGCCTTGTAAAACGATTCTGGGTCTTCACCGCCAGGTCCATGGAATGACTACACAACACCAAAAAGTAAATCCGTTTCCAGTAGTATTAGTCACATAAAAACCCACTGATATATGTACACACACACACTAATATATACATATATATATATATATATTACCTCAAATTCTCCAGGGAGATAGACGGGATTGATTAGATTGACAATAAAGAGCTTCTCCCTCTCGTCTCGGTTGACAATATAGGCAGGCGTGCCTGCTGGGATGTGCACAACGTCTCCACGTTCAAGATTGAACGTCTCTCTCTTCTCCTCCCTCAACAGAGTCACAGTTGGTCTCCCTAAATTCACACAAATCAAAACCAACAAATAAGTTCCAAAAAAAAAAAAAGAAACAAAAACTCTATATCTACTATAGCATAGAAGTTGAAAAACTAAATTACCACTAGCAACGAAGAAGATAACGTCGGCATCAAAATGAACAGGAGCTACAAATGCATGAGGATTGGCCTCGAGAAACCCGACCCGGTAATTCTCAATGCCTTTGAGAAGCTTGGACCTCTCTGTGAACTTCTTCAGGATATGAACTCTGCCTTCCTCCGTCCTAACGCTGGTGTCGAAATGCTCAGCTTCAAACAGATAAGGGTTATTCTGCTCTATTCTCTCTCCACTCTCTTCTTTTTCTTCTTCTTCTTCACGGCTTTCCCTTGATCTTCTGGAATACCCTTCTTCCTCTCTCTCGCGGTGCTTCTTCTCTCTAATGTATTCCTCACACCTTTGCTCGCATTGTTGCCTCTGTTCTTCTTCGAATCCTCGCTGGTGCTTGCACTGGTGCCGGCACTGCTTCAGCTCCGGGTCTTGCGTGGCCGAGGCAAGACTTGCGGTCAGGACTAGAACAGAAAGTATGACTAGAGAGAGCTTGTTTAAGCATGCCATTTTTGTTTGATTTGGTTCGTGAGGGAAAGTGTCGAAGAGGAAGAGAGGATATATAGGTGGGAATTGACGAATTAGTACGAGGGATTGCAGAGCATGCAATAGGACGTGTGTCCAAGCTACGTGTCTCTCCGCAAGGACAAAGTGGACACATATCACTGTCTCGTTGCAAATTTATAAGTTTTTGAGATTGAGGTCACTGGATCAAGCTGTACTCCTCGAGTTTGCAAGCAATACGACATCATCGTTAACATGCAAAAAATCTTCAATTTTTTTAGGAGCTTTTTTTAGGACTAATAAAAATGAAGTAAGAGTAGTTTTTTTTTTTTTTTTTTTTTTTTTAATCATGTATAAAAATGGTCTGTTATATATATATATATATATATTTAATGTGATATAATTTTGATCAGATTTAATATACAAAAATTAACTCTATCGATATGTTTGCTTATCAGAGAAACTCTTTTTTTAAGGCGTAGAAATCAAATGAGTATTGTAGTTGCAAAATCTAAGTATTGCCTCAACATTATTGCCTTATGCTTAGAAACAGAATGATTAGATTGTCTTTTTTATATACAAGAGGCGTCGATTTAGGATTTGTTAAAAAGGTTAGAGAAATCTTAAGAGTCGTAATGTGTGTAATTTTTCTCATTTGTAAATTTTTTTTATCATATAACGGTAGAAGGAGGACGTCTTTTTATGTTGAGCCAAACCTTTTGATTCTCTTTCTACAATTTTATGGTTATTAAAATATAAAATTAGAGCGTCTAATTCACATGATAGGATATAATCGCGCAACATTTCACGTGTGATCCCACTTAGGATTGAGTGATAAAATCTGGTATCCTAGATCTAAATTATTACTCAAATCTGGTATCCTAGATCTAAATTATTACTCCTTAGTTCGGTTTACATTGAACACAGGAAACAATATCACCCCACGGCCCCTGAAGATGAGAGGGAAATTCCCATTTCACCCCACGGCCCCTGAAGAAGAGAGAGAGAGAGAAAGAGATTATCCCTTTGAACGATGGGTTGAGGCATAGATGCTACTCTTTATATTTACATGCAAGAACTGTTACCATCACGTCTGGCAATGGGTAACTTCATACTTCATATTTCACTAAAAAATAAAAGATAAAAATAAAATAAAATAAATAAACCCTCCAGTTACCACTTACTACTCACTCCTCCATTCCGTGGAGACATCAAGGGAAATATTTACCAAGAATACAGCGTAAAAGGAAAAACTTGTAAAATCTACACAAGAACAGAGTAAATGCAAAAGTTGAACCAAAGGGATCCGATAACAATTTCACTTATTTCACTTGTCTGAAATTGGTACACCAACGAAATAGGAGCAAAGAGGAAGGTGAGTTCAACTCGTGAAATTTCATGTCATTCAACATTGAAAAACTGAGTTAAGACCACACTATCTTTTGCACTATCTTCCTCTAAGGTTCCATAACAATATTACTAGAAATAGGTTCCATAACAATATTACTAGAAATGTGTTCTTTCAAAGATCAGGCATTCCCAGTCCTGTTTTTACATCATAAGTTTTCTCCAGCACCACATCCATTGGAGTATCCTTAGGACCAGCTGCAAACGAAGTTTCAAACCATCATCAGCAGTAGAGTTTGCAAACAATATACGGTATCTCAGAAGCATACTTCAAAGGTCAACAATCACAAATCTTAATCTGAATGATATAGACTATTAGTGCAAAACCGAATAAAGGTGTTTCCGGAGACATCTAAAGTTCTAAACTCCTTTAGTTTAGCTTCTGATTATAAGCTACAATGGTTAAACAAAAAGTAAACCACATGTATTGTCCACGATCTACGTGGCCTAGTCCCTCAAGTGAATTTTAGCCCAACTGCATGTTGCATCATATTAACAAGTAACTGTTGAATCTATTTCTTTTTATCAATATACGGTTGCATCATCCGCTTGCCAAGTGTTCGAGGTAAAGTTCTAATAGTCTGTTTCAATGACCTTTATTAAAAAATAAATAAAAATAAAAATAATAAAGCAGTTTGAAGCTCCATATCGCGTCTTATGTCCTAGGATATAACTAATAGGAAAATAATAAGGGTCACTTTTATAGGAAGATAAAAGGCAACGGAACTTGGGGTTTTAATAAATACCAACTGTAGGTCTTGGGGTAGTCCTTATCTTCAAGATCTCCGGGCGGGGAATAATGGAACCTGATGCTCCAATGCCTCTAGATGCTCTTACTTTAGTGCCATCTTCAAGATACCTAATCCCAACCTTACAAGGCTTCCTGCGAAATCAACCATTAATCTTTACTTTGGCACTTGGGAGAGTTCACAAAAAATAAGGGTCATTTTGGAACATATATTCAAGTCATGATTTGGGTTCATTAGCGGGAACTTTGTGAGAGCGGAAATTTTAGAATTCAAACTCTTTATGAGATAAAAAACACTGTAGCAAAATCCAAATTTAGGTTTGAATATATGTCCCAAACAAGCGTTAAGGATTCTTCAATTAGATTTCATGACGCTCCCATACCCTGTCACTGGATCAAGAACTTGAACATTTGATACATGAAGAGGGGCTTCGACTGTAAAGATCCCACCCTCGTGACCCTGCCCTTGTTTAATATGCTTCTTAACCTGCAAAGACAATATACAAATTCGTTACATGCCCAAGTCTGTATAATCAGGTTTCTCAAAACACAATATTTGAATAAAAATCACAAGTACGCGTCAAGATACAATAATCAATCATGGAAGTGTTCAATCCTTTCTTAACTAACTTCTATTAGGAATTGATAGGACCACTAAATAAAAATTTTCAGTTCCCAGTACCATTAAAACATCTAATATGGAAGTCGAATGGGAAAAAGGCAAAATTATGCAAAAAAGTAGAAATCCAACAAATTGATCGAAATGGACACCCAAGTCCTAAAAATTGGCTACTATTTAAATATGGAATTCAGCAAAGTGGTATTTTCGATTCACAAAGATATTTCTTTTGTGTAAATTCAAAACAATGAAAACAATTCGAACCCGTTAGATATGAAACGAAACAAACTCAAACACAGCTGATCAAAACTCTAATAAGATAACATAGAATAAAGTATTTTGCTCAAGACCTGGTCATAAAAAATTCATGCCAACCAAGAACTGGGAAAAGTAGAAAGCAAGATTGAGAATGATTTCGTCTCACCAGATTTTTACCTTCAACAAGAACACGGTTCTGGGAGCGAATAACACGCTTAACAATGCCGGTCTCGCCTTTATCTTTGCCCCTAATTATCATCACCTGAAATTGACCGATGCAAATTTAAAAAAGGAAATTTTCCTTCAACGATTGTTAATATAGAAAAATATTCAATCTTTTCCGACTTACATTATCTCCTCTGAGAATCTTCCAGTGCCTAATAAGCTTCTCGGCCGCTTTCCAACCCATTTTCGTTCACAAGCAATACCAATATGCTTTCTAGGAGGTTTCTGCAACATCAATTTTAATCAAATATACGTATATATATAATATATGTTTGCAAAAACCTTCACGCTTGCTTTGCTTACAGCGTTTGACGATGAGAGAACCTGAGAGAGGTAAGAGAGAAGGATTGCGGCCGCGGCGCCTCGGATATAAGCGACGCAATTCTCGAGGACCGGCGACTCGCGATGGCGTTTTTGGACGGCGGTGAAACTTTTGGTTTGGAGTGAGAAATGAAAGTAACGGCAGAGAAAGGGAGTTTGAGAGAGATTTTGGGGGAAAGAAATGAGATAGGGTTTACTGAAAACGACAGTAAACATGAAACAATAGAGAAATAAGGAAGAGAGAGAAGAAGAACGACCACAAATGAGAAAACGACGATAATAAAGAAAATCACAAAAGTTTCCAGCGACGGGAAACAAAAGGCGAAAATGACACAAATGATAACGTGATACAGTCAAATCATACAGATTAGAAACGACGGCAATGAATCAAACGACAATATATGTATAAGCGACGACAATGAAGTAAACAACAAAAGAGTGATACGACAACTGACAAACAGAAATTAACAGGAAACGACAGAGATTAGAAAAGCAGGAAATGACAGACAAAATGAATGTAAATCATACAGATTAGAAACGACGGCAATGAATCAAACGACAATAAATGTATAAGCGACGACAATGAAGTAAACAACAAAAGAGTGATACGACAACTGACAAACAAAAATTAGCAGGAAACGACAGAGATTAGAAAAGCAGGAAATGACAGACAAAATGAATGTATCAGCGAAATGAGAAAACTACTACAAAAAAAGGATGAATAGGAAGAACGCTGAAGAATAAACGACGATAAGACAGAAACGACAAAAAGTTAACAAAAATATGACTAAAAGGAAACGACACCAAATGGAAGAAAATATTACATGAGGTGATTAAACAAGGGGGAAGAATGTTAACAGATTCTTTGCCTGGAATAGATAAATAGGAGGATTTTTTTTTTTTTTTTTTTTTTTGTAGGTTAGTAAACAAAACTGTATTAGGGATTTACTGAATTTAGGCCAATATATTCAGGTCTAACATAAGACTAAATTTTGTCAATTTGGCATTTATCAATTACCGGGTTTGCAGTATGACCAAAATTTGATAAAATTCAGAATTTATCGGGATTTATTCCACGATCATCAAATTTGAATTTTTCGAATTTACTTCTGTGAAGCTCAGAATTATATATATTTTGAACTTCTTTCAAAATGTATAATTTTTTTATTATGGATAGGCTTACTACTATAGAGACTCAAAACTAGTCCATTATAAAATTTCCGTTTAAACAATAAGTTGATATTTTGGCATGTTTGGAAGCAACGTATCCATGCATAAAATTTTGATCTCTTTTTTTTTTTTCTTTTAAATGTTTAATCTGTTTGGAAAATCCACAAATATTAGAAATATGGTACGCCATTAATAGCTAGATCTTCAAGATTACAGTCATTACTAATTGTGTACAATCCTATTGTAATAAATTTGGCATTCTAAGATATCCACGTTCTGAGATCACAAAAGTTCAAAACTAGCCAAATTGACACAAAAATTAGCTAATTTCCCAACAATATAAAGTCTAAAGGGAAGTATCATCAACAGAAACACACAATTAGAAGCAATAATTTTTATTTTCCCCTTTGCAGGGCATAATTAAGATGGCCAAATCGTTTCCTTTGTTCAACTTCCTCATAGTATTCATCCTCGTTCTTCTCAGCTCAAGTAGTAGTTTTCTTCAAACTTTTTTTCCCCATTGATCTTCTAGTACTTCCGTACTTCAACATTTTATCAGTACTACAGATTTTGCATTGTCGTTATATTATAATAATTTATTGATCAAAACCATATTTGTGGAGTTCATAAGGTGGCAATGGCCAAGGATTGCGACACAGTGCTGCTGCGCCGCAATCTATGCAAGCGAACGGGGTACAACAAGAAATGCGCCAAGGCATGTCAGAATGTGTTCGAATATAGCAGATCAGTGTGCGAAGCCGCTCCAGGAACCGCCGGCCGTGTAATTCTTTGCAGGTGCACGTATTCTTGCTGAAAAGAGTACTGTACATGGCCTTCTTCTCTCTTATGTCTAATTGTTTTAGGAGTAACCGTAAATTGATGATAGAATAATAAATACAATGAGAGATCAATTGTACGATGTAACCATTCTTATAAGTTCTCTTGTTGTTAGTCACCAGCAATTGAAAGGAAAAAAGAAAGAAAGAAAGAAACTAGGGAAAAATTATTCTTAATAGGATAGGAGTTTCGAAAATGGAAGATGATCATCTAATTGATCAAGAAGATACACATGTGAGCAGATTAGAGAAACGTACCAAAATCCTCCACAACTTTATGAATTAGTTACATGAACCTAATTCGGAATTTAGCATTATCAGATCGCCTTTTTAACGTTTTATTTTTCAGCTCGGGATTAGATAATTTAAACTGTACATCTTTTAGTGGAATAAGGTGTTATTGTTAAATTATACCTACAGCAACATTATTAGAGTCGGTATGAAAAATAGGTCTCATGAGCCTCTTGAATATAGTTGTATTTGATATCGGTTTTCATCCTTGAAAAAGGCATCGCAAAATTACATGTTAAATGCGAGAACTTGATAACAATAATGGAGTTCAATAAGTAACAAGGGCACAACTTTGATTGTTCAAACCCTTAAATTATAGCACAAAAGTTTTATTTGGGCTTCCAATTAGTACATTACACAGAAAATTTAAGTAAGTAATTGTGAAAGTACTTCTCCACAACTTTATTGCAACAATATAAAATGTAATATTACTTTTTTTTGTTGTCTTCATTAAGAGGGAACAAGTACTTTACGCTTGCAACAGGGTAATTTTCAACGCTCAATGCAGCTTGATGTTCAGTTTTTCTGCACGCAAAGTACAAACGAAAATTAATCATAATTTTATTAGCGCCAAATTACATCTTAAGGAAATCTCATAAACAAAAAATAAATAAGTAAATAAATAAAAATTACCTTCTTCCTCCTTATTTGAACATTCAGTGTCACATTTCACTTCACAGTGGGTGAAACCGTTGCCTTCAACTTTGCATGCATCTTGGCAATTTAGAAAGCACGCCTTGTACAAGGCCTCGCTGTTTGTAGCCTCGGCCTCACGGGCGTGCATTGCCGCGACGACAACGATGCACATGACAAACAATGCGACGAGCTTCTTGGCCATTTTTTCCTTATTAATTTGTTGTGTATTTCTAAGTTTTTGTTTTCTCTGTTAATTAGGTGTTTATTCTTTGTAAGAGAAGTAATGCAAACGGTACTTATAATAGGAGATTGGGAATTATATTTTGGGTCTGGGACATGAACAACGGGAATGTTAGCGGTTGATATTGTGTTTGCACGGAAAGTGATGCTTAAAAGAAGGACTAAACGAAATTCTTAACTAATTATTAATGTCTAAGGCCCACCTAAGTCAAGGCACCTTATTATTAGGAAACCTTAACTGATTACTTTTCCACCACAAGGGCTTCCTTGTGTTCAGGACACTCTTAAGTCTTAACTAATTAAATTTACACCTTAAAATATTGAAATTAATAATGGCTTTTTCTTAAGGAAAAAAATCCTTTTACTTAAATAAATCTCATAAAACATGAATTAATATTAATCAAATCTCATTTTCTAGAAAAAAGAAAAAAAAAAAACATACACGCAAATCTTATTATGCCTCAATCTATTTCTTCTCATCTTGCCAAACATGTTCATAATAATAAGAATAATTACATACCACTGTTTTTTTTTTTATTATTATTATTACAGCTCGGTCTCTCTTTTTATAACACTTTTTTAAGACACCAACAAACTGTTAATGTGTCTAAATTGTTTTTATTTACACTTAATAGGATTTTTTTCAAATTTTTTTTATCTTGATATAGTTTTGACGTGATGTATTAATATTCAGTTTAAGCAACCAAATTCTACCATAAAAGTCCCAACAAAGTGCCACCTTATAAAAGCGTGAGTTTACAAGGCTCCTGAGAAATGATATATTGAAGAAGATAATATTCCAGCAAAAGGGAAAAAAAAAAATCAAAAGTTTCATTATCAAACTATGCAGAACATAATCGATCCCACAGAAGGACAGTTTTTTTTTTTTTTTTTTCTTTTTATTTTTGTAGTGAATAGAAGGACAGAGAATTACACACGGAAAGAAACTTAATAGGAGATGAAAAACATGGCTCCTATAGCTATATGCAGAAGGTATGCTGGGAAAACATAAGAGAGACAAGAACCAGAAGAGGCTGGTGATTTCAACACTGGTCGGATTCCTGCATTTGCAGTTGTTGGTGATGGGCCTTCCGATTCGACAGGCGCAGAAACTATCGGCATTAACTGTTCATGATCAGTTGTTTCGGATTCTGGTGCAGGAGCTGTTTCTACTTCTTCAGAAGCTGCCAAAAAAAATATCATATTTTGTGGTTCACTATGTTATTTAAATTACAAGTTTTAATGATAAATTAATCAAATATTACGAACAAATCCAAGTTAATTACCTTGTGGACTAAAAGGAGAATCAGCAATACCTGTAGGTGCGGCGGGAGTCGGCCCTAGAAACGCAGAACCTACGAGTAAAGTGGTTACAATTAGCAAACACATTGTGTAGTTAACACTAATTGGTTAAGTATGAGAATTATTCCCTCCCAGTTGCATTTAGGATTTTACGTGAATATTGTTTTTGGCTTTTCGCTATTGGTTTTTTGAGTTGAAGAGTGTACCTGGAGCTGGAAGGGGAGCCCCGGCAGCTGGAAGAACATAAGACAAAATGCATATCGGAATTTAGTAAGCATCAAACAAGGGGAAAAAAAGGAGCTTCTTACATGCATGTTTCTAAAAGCAAATTTGGTAAAAAAAAAAAAAAAAAAAAAAAATCAAAATAATAATAAAAGAAAAGTACATAAAATTGACAAAATTTAATACATATTTGACGATTTAAAATAAAATGCTTTTTATACTTATTGTAGATTTTTTTTATTTTAAAAAAAGGCATAAATATTACAGATTTAATAATATAATCTCGGCTAATAAGAAATATATAATGCCTCAAAAGAAGTGTATAAACTTGAATTAAACACTATTAATAAAGAGTGAGTTCCACATCATGAGACGTATATGTCATATACGGGGCTCACTTTCTATTAATTGCAACACTCTTGAGTATTTTTCAAAAAAAAAAAAAAAAAGTGTGGTGATTTATTGAACCTTGACTCAAAAAGTTCAATGTGTGTACAAAATATTATACGCACGTTTGCATTGTGTTGGCACGTTGTCCATGTTGCAAACTCTAGGGAGTGAGATTGCGAGGGTTCGGTTGATGGGCAGTTGAACAGGGACATTGGCAGTTATTAGAAGACAAGCACAGTCCACGCTAGTGCTCAATATTGATTTTAGAGAACTGCAACAGCCTGTGGATGGTAATGACCCATTGTTGCTGCTGCCAGTAACGAAATTCAAGCATGGAGTGAAAGTGGACACCATTGATGCTGTGCAGATCTGCCCATTAACTGATAACGTCATAGACAAAGCAACGACAAGAATATAACCCCATAATATTGCACTTGATTTGAAAGCCTTCAGACCTAATTCCATGATTTCTAGACCATATATGGGAATATTTAGTCAAGTATTTGTGTGTGGATATTGGGTTGAAGAATAGCTGTCGATATATAGATTACTTTGATCGTGATTTTGGTAATTTGGTGGGAAAAATAGGTGGTTTTCGCAGTTCAACTACTTTAACTACTAATTAATTTGCACATATCTAAAGCAATGTTCTTTAATTCTTTTCTTCTCTTTCTTTGGCTTGGAATGACGTATGGCAGTCTTAAATCTTAATTAGGTGTGTTTGGCAGTGTTAGTTATGACCATCGGCTTAAATTATTCTAAAAAATGAGTATGGGTTCTCAATTTAGTTTTGCAATCATAATTGCAGGCATGATCCAGCGATAAATATCTATACCATACTTCCAATGCTGAGGTCCTAATTTAAAAATCTCCCGTACAGTTCAAAAAGAGTTTGTAATTCCACTTGGCACTAAATTACTGATCAAATCCTCTTCTAGTTGGCACATAATCATTAAGCTATTTTAGTTAACAACAAAACAAAACCATTAGCAATTTATTCGAAGTTGGCCACCCAAATATACCAGCAAAATTTTGTCTCCTCCGTACACTCTTT